CGGCCGCGCCCCGCCGCTGCCGGCGGCTGCCGCGACCACAGTCGTCGCCGCCGCGCTCCTGCCAAGCCGACTTGGAGCGGAAGCTGAAGCCGAAGCCCCCGGCCAGGGGGTCGTCGCCACTCAGCGGAGGATCGTCGTCGTCGTCGCTGCGCCAGCGGTTGGCCAGGCGCTGCTGCTGCTGCTGCTGCGGGGTCACCGCCCCCCCGGGTTTCTTGGTGCAGCCGCGGGTCGAACCCCCAGGGGCGTGAGGGTAGCCATTGGCGCGGGAATCCGCTTCCCCCCACGCCGAGCGGTGTTCCGGGCCTCCCCGGGACGCCGGCGCCGCCGCTGTCTGCGCCGCGTAGCCCGGGGGGCTCACGCTTTTGGAGCCGGACATCCCCCCCTCGGCCTCGTCGTCTTCCTCCTCCTCCCCCGGGGGCCGGGTCGGGGGCCTCCAAGGGGACGGCGGACGGCCGAGCAGGGGGACCAGGCTGGGGTCACACGTCGGGGGCGGCCCGGGGCCCTGCGCAGCAGCGGGGCATCTTGGCACCCCCGTCCTGAGCGGAGAAGCAGGGCAGCAGGAGGGCAAGCGGGGAGGCAGGCACAGCCCCGAGGTGAGAAGTGGCTGAGAATCCGCGTCTGGAGTCCCAGGTCCGAGATGGAGTTGGCTCCGAGCTGGAGCGGCGGGGACTGCTCGAGCCGCTGCGCCGCGCGCAGAGGGACGTCCGGACTCCTGGTTCGCGTCGAGCTCGACGAGGACCGGAGTTGCGGACGAGGCGGGACGGAGAGGTGTCCTTGCGGGCGGCGCCTCTCCGGGGCTGGCAATGCAGGGGCGCTGCGCTCGCAAATTCTGCCTAAGCGGGACCCAGCGGCACACGCGGCGAGCCGGCTGCTAGGGCGGCGAGGCGGGGGTCCCGGTGTGGAGACCGAGCGGGTACCCTTTCCTCGCGGCGGACTAGGAGCGACTGGGAGGTGCGGGCGCCAGGCAGCATTATTTTCTTACGAGGGGTGGGGAGGTGGGATGAGGGGTGGAGAGGACGGGGGAGGGGGCGGCGGGCGGAGCAACAGCTCCGGGGCCCTGGGGGGTGGGTCCTGGAGCCCAGGGGGGCCGTCGCCCGCATCCCTCACCTCCCGCAGCGAGAGTGGGAGCGAGGCCCCCGCGAAAGCCGAGCCGAGCTTTCAGCGCGTCCGCGCAGGGGGCGGGGGCGAAGACCGGCTCCTGCGGCGCGGCCCTTCCCCTCTCGCCTCCCCCTTCCCCCCAAACCGACCGGGGCTGGCCCAGACCCGCTGGCCCAGGAGGGCTGCCGCGCCGACTCCGTAAGCCCCAGGCTCCTCGCCGCCGGCTGCGGGCCCACCGCGGCCGGGCGCAGAAGGACTAGGCGGAGGGCGGTATCCGGCGCAGCGCCGCCGCCGTTGTGCCCCAAAGCAGACGGGCTTCTCCCGGGGAGTGCGGCATCCAGAGATCGAGGGCCAGGGCTCAGATGCAGCCGGCCGAGAGGGGTCCGCCCAAGAGCTGCTGCGGCCCGGGGGCGCTCCGGGGAGGCCCGCGGGAGCCGGGCTCAGGGCGCGCCATGC